CCAAAATGAGGAATAGGTTCCAAACTTAAGAAGTCCTGGCACCTGCCAGGCGCCGGTGGCTCACGCCTGTAATCCTAGCTACTCAGGAGACTGAGATCTGAGGATCACGGTTCAAAGCCAGCCCGGACAGGAAAGTCCGTGAGACTCTTATCTCTAATAAACCACTAGAAAACCAGAAGTGGCACTGTTGCTCAAGCGGTAGAGTGCTCACCTTGAGTTGAAGAGCACAATGATAATGCCCAAGCCCAGAGTTCAAGCTCTACAACCGACAACAACAACAAAAAAAGAAGTCCTGGCACCTATTTAATTTAGTATTTTCTTTATCTCCCTTCACCTGTTCCTTCTTCATTGAGAGGTACAATCATTCTTCCTGGAGATCTTGTCAGGGGGTGGAGGTCTTGTCTGTGGTATACTGGACATTAATCTGTTTTTCAAACTACAGCAAGAAATGGTAATACTAGCTTTTCTACTATAAAGAAGAAAGATCTCCTTTATTCCAACTTCAGACAGCCATTTCTTCCCTTTTTCTCTGACAATCTCTCAGGGAATCATTAAAGTCCCGTCCCCTACTCTGATTGTTTTTTTTTCAAGATTTTTCTAGTTTGTTTCATCTCTGAGTCCCAAAGTCCCTTAGTTTCTTAGAAGACAATTCTCTGAAGACAATGTCATAGCATCTTAGACTTTGTTACAGGAACCAAAAAGTGTTCCAGTGGTATACTCCATACAACATCATCTACACATAAGTGGCCTTAAAAACCAGGGTTTCTTTTCTCATTATCCCTCATATTTCTGGAGCTTGACAGACCCAGCTGGAAGTTGTCACTAATGTCTCTCATACAGGTGTAGTCCTTTGTGGCTTTGTGTGGTTATTTATTTGCTTTCTCACCTGCGTGCTGACCAGGCTTTGGGGCTTGGGCAGCTGCCTCTTTGACTCTTTTTCCCAGTGTGGGCTCTCTAGTAGGGCTGGAAAACATGTTGCCTTCAAGTTAGCTTTGGGCTAGCTATGATCTTTGCATGATAGACCGGGCCTCCAAAAGGAAGTTCCGTAAGAGAGCCAGACAGAGACAAAGTGAGGCAGAACCTGGATCACCCTTTCTAATCCAGATTCAGGAGTGTGGGCCCAACTTCCCTTCCTCCTCTGCTTGCCACCGCAGCCATTCAGCCATTCAGCCTGCCCAGACTCCAGGGCCAGACAAACAGGCTGTGTGCTTCATGATAACAAAACTCTGGAAGATCATTTAGGACACAAGGATGACTGTGCTCACTTCTGGACACTAAATCTGTCTCTGTGACTTCTACCCATCATCTCAGGCCTTAGACTTCCCCAGCAGTAAAGCACGGGCGTGCAGATCGTAAGAACAGGGAGGTGGTGGAAAGGCCGCCCGGAGACAAAGGCATGAGTTTGAGAAATTCCCCAAAGAGGATTAGGAGCTTCATGGGGACAATATCAGTCAGAAGGCCTGTGCCAAGTTCCTAAACCTTGGTCTCTTCCTTCAGTGGGATGCCCTGGTAGTACCTTCTCCCCCACAGTCTTTGTTAACATTAATTAGCAATGTAAGAAGTTTCATTCTGCCAAGTCCATGTACACACGGAATGTTTCTAGACCAGACTCATCTGTCTGTTACTCTCACTCGCCCCCCCAATTCCTCAAATCAATCTCAACGAGCCTTTGTTGCTCTATTTCTACACATGTACATACAGTATGTTGACCATTCTCCCATGCTGTTCATGTTGAGAAATGTCAGGTGCAGATGAATCCCACACTGCAGCTAGGTACAAGCATAGATCCTCAAAGGAGAATGAATGATAGCTGCTCCAAAAGTGAGTTCAGAGCCCAGTTCTGGCCCTGCAGCACTGAGACCTCATGCAGGATGGTGGGTGGCTTGCCACATCCATGTGACTGTGGTAGCTGGTGGGTCAGACACCAGTCTCCTGATGTCTGATCTTCACAGTGCCCTGAAGGTCACTTGGCCTTATGGATGAGGAAACCGAGGATCTCATGATTTGACCAACTTAAAACAGCCACAACCAGATTAAGTGGGCACAAAACCACATGAGGCTACGTCCAAGGTCTGTGACCTTTCACAGTAGCGCTCTTGGGCAGATGACTTTGAAGACCCCAGGCCGCCTCAATCTTCAGAAGATGCTCCTTCTTCTCTCCTTGGAACAAAGGAATGGAAAGGAAGACCAACAAAGACTCGAAGCCTCTGCCCTAGAGAGAGGCACATGTGTCTTTCCTGTAAAACTTAACAAACCAAACTAACTCCTTTGTGACTATTCTCCTCTGAAGGCTGGAGGGGACCTTCTGTTATTGATTATTTTACTGAAACATATAAAAACACGGCCATCGGTTAGGGTCGTGAAACGAAAATAATAAAATTGCTTCTATGGCCCCAAAGTAAGCTAAACTTTTCAAATTCCTTATTTAAAAATCTCATGGTGCCTTTTTTCTTTTTTTTTTATTGTGAAAATACAGTATAGAGGAGTTACAATTACATGGGCAAGATAACGAGTACATTTCTTACCAAGCATTGTTGCCTCCTCCTTTGTTTCCCCTTCCCCTCCCTTCCCATCCTCCCCCACTTTCCCCCCATCCTCCCCCCTCACCAAAGTTGTAAAGTTCATTTTTTGACATAACAACTTGTACATCTCACTGTTGCAATGGGTCCACCTGTATCCCTATTTAAATGATTTGTTTTTTCCCTTCCCCTCCACAAATTATAACAACATCAAATACAGTGAAAGCAGGGTTTATACCGTGGGGGAAGGACATACAAAGCAACATAGAAATCATCTTATAAATGTGTTAGAAACAATTGCACGAAAGAAAAAAAACATTTGAATACTTATCTTGGGGTTCATTCCCCTAATATCAGCTTATCTGACCTTTTCTGCTTGACTCAGACATATACTAGATATTGCAAATAAGGGAAACCATGGGACCTATGTTTCTTTGGGCCTGGCTTACTTCACTTAATATAATTTTTCCAAGTCTTTCCATGGTGCCTTTTTAAGGTGATAGACTTCCTCTCTGTGCCATAGGGAGATAACTGAATCTCAGAGAAACTAAGCATGTTGGTAGAGTCATGCAGCAATAAGTGAACGGGCTCGAATTATCTGGCTGGAAACGTATTTTGAGGAGTCTTTTGAACGCACATTGAAAGCAATGGACATGTTCATTGAGACAAGGTTAGAGAAACCATCTTATGGTTCATGAGAACTTGTAGACCAGCTTAGACTCTTCCCACTCTATTTCTATAGTAAGGTATGAAAGCTGCAATCTGTCGGTGTCACTTCACACATGGAACTGTGATCATGCCACATGTTTGAAAGGCATCCTTCTGAAGTTTTCACTTAGGGGGTTAGAAACATCTATCCAGACTTGTTCCCATCCAGTTTTCAAGGCTAAGAATCATTGGGTGCGACGCTTAACGTGAAGCACTGTTTGCACACTCAACACCAGGTAGGGCTTTGACTCTTCACAGTGGCGCCGGGAGGGCGTCTGTTGTCTCTGCCAGTCCCAGATTCACGTTACTGTGATGGATACCTGAGATAATAAACCAATCAGAAGAAAAGGTTTGTTTTGGCTCGTGGTTTCTGTGTGGTCCGTGGCTATTTGGCTGGCATGGTGAAAGTGTATGGCAGGCGAGGCTGTTCAACTCATGGCAGCCAAGTTGCAAAGACAGACAGTGGAAGGAGCGGACATCCCAACGGATCCCCCCAGGGGCAGAGCCTCAGTGCTCTGATCCCCCCTTCCAGGCTCCTCCCCTTCAAGTGTCCACAGCCTCTCAGAGACTCCCCAAGGTGTAGGGCACAGAGCCCTCAACCCATTTTCATTGTAAGACACTCAGCCAGACTATAGCATTATACTCAATGCACACAATACGCAATGTCCTTATGTGAAAATGGAGCCAGGAAATTTGAGGCTGTGGGTGAGGCTGGGATCAATGTGGGTGAGGATGACGGAAGGGGCGACACTAACCAAGATGCATTGCGCTCATAAAATAACGTGCTGAATTGAAGCTATTTGTACAGCAACTTAAGGAGAAGGGGAGGAGGAGGAGGAAGAAGGAGGAGGAGGAGGAGGACGAGGAGGAGGAGGAAGAGGAGGAAACTAAGGATTGAGGAGGTCAAGGACTCTCTGGCCTTCTAGAGTTGCACTACTAATTATAGTGGAGCCAAAATGCTATAATAGTGTTTGCCTTTTAAACGTCTGCTCCTTGTGCAGCACCAGGGTTCCTCTGACAAAGTCCTTTCCACTATGGCTGCTCTCTTCTAAGGGACAGCACACACTTCACAGCCCTTCTTTACCAGCAAGCTTTTATCCAGACCTCGGTGTCTTGGCTCCTCAGAGCGGCTTCCTCCTGTCCAGAACCCCACCTTTCCAGTTCATTTGTCCCCCCCCACCTCCAAGCCCTCTGTTAGGAAGCCCAGATCTGGGGAGAGATTTAAGTACAGTTGGAAGCCCTCCTCCCTCCTTGCCATTTCTGCTTTTATTTTTGACTGCACTTCTTTCTGACAGGTACGCTGTTTGTCCTGACTCGAGTCTGATGTTATGACTCACTGGGGAGATATAATGTGCTGATTGCTGAACCAGGTTATTGTTTTCTTCTTATTATTTTTTTCTATGACTCATTCTCTTCAAAATCCTTTAACTTATAATAAAAGTCAGTAAGAGGTAAGCAAAGGAAATGTTTCTAATGGGCTGTCATGTTAATGTTTGTCTACTTAACTCTTGGAGTGAGCAGTGTGAATCAGGGTGCCTCTTAGAGCTGAACCGCTGATCCACAATTTGCCTGGTCCCACCTCCCCATGGCGTCGTTTCTGAAAGGAACTTGATTCCCGGGAAGACATGCACTGCCCATCCACACACTTGAAAACAGGAAAATCTTTACCAAAATCTTTACAGATGTGTATCAAAAGGATAAAGGAAGTATTTTATTTACAATATTTCTAAGGAAACATTAGAAGTTGTGGTCCTTAAAAAAACCACCTCAAGTAGCACTTCGGCGTATCTTTGTTTAATTTATGACAAAGCCTTACAGACTGGTGCAAACATTAAGTCCTCTTTTGCAACCCAGAACATTGGTGAATATGAACTTTGGCACAGGTAAGAAAGAATATGATGATTCCCACAATCGTTTGAAGAGATGGGGGTATTGTTAACGCTGGCAGTTTCACTTTGAGAATAAAGTTGATGTAAAATCTAAAAACAAAAAATAGCACCCCAAATGGAATTTTTACATAAAATTTGAAAATAGTTTACAGTATTACAGTGCAACATAATTAAGAAACATGTACAAAGAATAGTGTAGAAAGAGATAGAGAAGCCAGGCACCGATGGCTCACACCTGTAATCCTAGCTCCTCCAACATTCATATATTAGACTAGGCACTGGTGGCTCACACCTGTAATCCTAGCTACTCAGGAGGCTGAGATCTGAGAATCGCGGTTCAAAGCCAGCCCGGGCAGGAAAGTCTGTGAGACTCTTATCTCCAACAAACCACTAGAAAATGGAAAGTGGTGTTGTCACTCAAGTGGTAGAGGGCTCACCTTGAGCTTGAAGAATGCAGGGACAGCTCCCAGCCCCAGAGTTCAAGCCCCATGACTGACCAAAAAAAGGAAAAAGAAAAGGAAAAAATGGGGAATTTAGAATGCCATATGCTATTATCTAAACAAGGAGTCAGAATATTAGACCAGAGCAGGATGTTCTCATTCAATGCACCACTGCTTTCCATAACCCTTTAGACATATAAAAGCTCCGTCAGAAAATCCCCTGTGTACTGTAATACTTACCCACTTGAAATCAGGACTGGTATCCTGGTCTCCCTGCGGAACTAGAGACAGAAATGATGTCCTTGTCTCTCAATCTTGTTGCCTTTTCTTTTTTATTTCACATTTAAAAACAATCTACTTAAAAATCATCAGCCTTACATTGTAAAAGGATTACTCTGGTTTCTTGGAAGAGAATCAGCATAGGAGGAACATGGCAAACTAAAGATATAGAAGGCTGTGTCTGGGCCCCATCTCCAGGCTCCATGACCTCCTACCTCTATCCTCCCTACTCCAGCCTCTTTTAAGTAGCCAGTGTCTGACAGGCAACTTCTAAGGGGCTCTGCCTGTGACGTCCAGTCCCTCAATCGTTGCCTCTGTCCGGCAACTTAGTTTATCTGTACCCCACCCCAGGAGCTGCCCCAGTGCAATCCACATCCAATCCCTCTAGGAAAAGTCATTCTACTTACAAACCAATGACACCAGCCTTTCTGAGGGCAGTGGATTATGGTCACAAGAAAATGGAATATATGCTTTGAAAACCAACAGACTCTTGTTATGTACTGAATTCTGGTCCTCTGAAAGTCCCTAATGAAGATATTGGAGATAATTAAGGGGACAGGAGGTTCTGAGGGTGGAGAGCAAAAGGACAGGTGTCCCCTATGAGGGACTTGCGTTCTCTGAGCAGGTGAAATGATGAATGTCTATTAGTACATACAACCCTCTCTGCAGCCTTGTGTTCTGGCAACGTTGAGGAAACGTCATGTTCTTGTTCAAGAGAAACTCTGCCGGGTGGTAACAGCCCAGTCCTGCGGTCAGACCACATACCATCTCCCTTCACCTGGTGTCCATGATGTCTGTGCTTTAATGCAGTCCCAAAGTGTTCCCTCCTCCTCTTTGGGTTTTTTTTAAATGCCTTTCACAGAGCTCACCAAGGGTCTTAATTCCTCATGCCCTTTGACTCCAGGAAATAATATTTCTTTCATCTCACTCTTCAAGAATCTTGTTTTCAGTTTTTATAAAGAGTAGCTCTAAGATTTGCATTCTTCTTCAATGATATTGCGAACATCCCTTCCTCAACTCCACCAAAAGTGTACAAACCACAGAACTTTCACAGAAGTCACGTAAAGACGATGGAGAGAATCACTCTTGGGATACGCAGGGACTGTTTTCTGTAAACAGAATGAACTAGATCTTTGGAACCCTCCCTGTACCTAGGCTCCTTCGAGCATCTGACTCTATTCAGTCACGTGACTGTGCAGATTTTTCCACATGAGTCACTTCACTGCCATCATGGAAGATCTTAATCACATCCCATGCTCCTCTCTGGGGCACCAACCTGGGGTTGGTAGGGGAGGGGTGTGCTGTAGTGATGGTTAGCATTTGGGATGGGCTACTTAAGGTCTTCAGGTTGGGTTGCTTTGGACTTACTGAAACAAATTGATTTGCCTCATAACCTCTTCCAGAACAACTAAGCCTTTGCTACCTACCCACATGTAGTGATAGCTTCTGGAATCAGACCTACCGCCCCCACCGTGACCTACAGCATGCAGTAGATGACCCACGATATAAACTCACCCCCTGCTTACAGGAGTGAGCAGAGAGCAGAGAATGAGCAGATTCTGAAACACACAGAGTCCGAAGCTAATCTGTGTCAAATGCTTCCAATCATCAACCTGAAAAATGGTAAGCAGATAATTTGAAACAGAAGTTCTATCATTCCAAGGATACAACTGATAACATAGTATATACCATTAAAATGTCCCTTTTGTAATATATGTATATTTATGCATATATATATATATATATATATATATATATATATTACAGGAGTTGTACACAGGAGTTACAGTTCTGTAAGTCAAGCAATGGGTACAGTTCTTCTTGGACAATGTCACCCCTTCCTTGGCTTACCCCCATGGCCCCCTCCTGTCCTTGCCCATAAGTTGCTTAAGTTCATTTTTATACAGTGTGTATTGAATACCATTGGCTGCATTTATTCACCCTTCCTTTCCCTCTCTCCATTCCTGTGGCCTGTGTGTATTTTTATTTTCATTTTTCCTCATCAGAAGGGAATCAGAGCTTCTGCTGATATGAGATGACACTGCTTGGGCCAAGGCAGAAATTTTCTAAAACGTCACTGGCGTCCCCTTTATACTTACTGCCAGATTCTTGCAGCAACTTGTGAACTGCAGTTCAGCTTAGCTCTCTCCACCCCAGACTCCTAGGGGCAGAATCTAATGGAAAGTCTGCTTGCAAAGGAGCCTGGGAAATGTAGTTTTCAGACTTCTAGCCATCACTACAGGGACATGAATCTTCTGCTTTTTGGGAACCTCCTGAAGCTACTCACCCTCAAAATTTTGCTAGCGTCTCCTCATTTCTCTTTGTAGCATCTTTGTCAAAGCAGTAATAAAGTTTAAATAAGTTAATCTGTTGCCAAGCAACTTACTTTTCTATGAGTGGGCCTGTCACCATGAGGGTGGCATTTCTTTACTTCTTCCATGACAAGGTACTGGCAGGTTTTAAGGAATTATACCTACACCTACAACACCAAGAGGATTCTTTTTCTTCTTTTCTAAAAATGTGCTGATTTGTATTACCTTAGACAGAATCTGTATAAAGCTAAAAAATATGAACTAACATGTCACTTTTTAAAAGCCTGTGTGCTTTTGAGAGTCATTGGCTATACCATATATTTTGTAGGTTTTCTTTTTTTGTTGTTTTACTTCCTTGCTTTGAAAATGAAGAACATTCAGTGCCTTGCAGAAAACATCAATCCCTTCATCCTCTCTTCTTGTTTCTCAGTGCCTTTCTGTTGAGTGTTAATCATATTCTGGCACTGGCTTTGTTCCTTGAGAAAAGAATGTTCAAAACTAGCGGATGAATCATGTTTCTTGGACATATACCATGTCACACTCTCAGGCCTTTCCATCAGAAAGGTTTGAGTTTAATCTTAGCAAAGTTTACACACACACACACACACACACACACACACACACACACACACTCCCACATCTACCTACTTTCTATAGATGAACTGAAGGAATGAATATTTGTTGATTGTTCTCTTGTTGACAAGTGCTGTTGTATGCATTATGACAGCCCTGTGCTCATTCCCCAGGTTCTCTCCTTTGGTCTTGGTTTTCAGGTGAAGAATAAGGCCCAGAGAAGTTACCACAGCCATTATTAGAAACGGGTATCAAGCCTCTGTGTCCTGGTGCTGTGTACTCTCCGTGAGGATGTCCCACGTCTTGAGCTCACCTGTCATTCCCACGTCAAGCTTGTGATCACAGTAAAACCCATCAACTCGAAGGTCCTTATCCAACTCTGACTTGGAAAATGAGGAAACTATTTTATCTTTACAATTGCTTTTGTTGTTTCCCACTGGTGGTGTGGGTTTGTTGTTGTTTTTCTTCTTCTCACTGTGCTTCTAACAAAAATACTCCCATGTGCTCAAGTCTGGAGCACACAACTCCAAAAATGTGTGGCTGGAGCTGAGCAATCACTTGAGAATTTGCATCCTCATTAGCTTCTCAAAATGGGGCCTAATTCATGAGTGTATCTAAAAGACATGACATAGAGCTATGCACAAGTCAGCCCCCATGGTGGTTCTACCCATTGGAAAGTTTGGCCTCACATTCTGGGAGGAAAAAAAATGTTCTGCATCATTTCATTGTACTTAATATGCACAGAGTGAATTGAAAACAATCCGATTTTTAACTAGTCTACCTCTAGTCTGACAATATTTTTGCCTGGTTTCCACAACTGTACATTTTGAGAGCAATAGTTAAAACAGGAGCAAGCCTATCCCTTGTAATTTCACTGGTTGAGAAGATGGAGACTTAGAAGATAGGGAAGATGGAAGTAGCACTGTAGCTTAAGTGGTAGAGCGCTAGCCTTGAGCTGAAGAACTGAGGGACAGCGCCCAGGCCCAGAGTTCAAGCCCCACGACCAACCAAAAAAACAAAAAAAAATAAAGAAGGTAAGGAATAAAACAGAACTAACCTTGTCATTAAGTGCACAAGTTCTACCAATCAAAAACATTAATCTTACTACATATGATCATCTATTACTGCTTGTCTCCCGCTGTGCCTATATGGTATTGTGTCTTAAAGAAGTTTTATTTGTTTTAATACATTTAAAAATTATCTTTATCCTAGGAGATATAAAAGTCTAACTATCCACTACTTAAACTCTGAGAGGGAAGTTGTTGTTAGATTTATATGGAGATGGTGTAAGAAGAAAAATCATTTTCAAAATGACTTGGAATGGTCTGACTCCAAGAACCAAGAATCAAAATCCCTGTTTTAGACAAAAAACTTTCTAATTTGTCATTTCTTAAAATGAGAGATT